GCCATTTTAATACAACAGCTTTAAGTTTTAGGTTAAAACAAATGGTTAGGTTAAATGGCAATTGCAATGGCAACAACAATGGCAATGGCAATGGCAACGGCAATGGCAATGGCAATGGCAATGGCAATTATGGCAAACATGGCAATGAAGTGGCAATACCTGCAATATAGTATGGTGTAAATCTAGGACTAAAAGCTAGACATTGAGCTTCACGGAAATTCTTTGCGCCATCTGGACACGGCTGTTTTTAACAAACAAACAAAAAAAAAACAAACAAACAAACATTTATAAATCGTTTCGTCGTTTTTCGATCATCAGACTTTTTTTTACCTCAGGATTACAACTTCTCCACAAGCCTTTACTATTTCCATGACAATTGGCTCCTCCATTCTTTGGCCTAAGATAATGAATGAAAACCATATCCTTAGAAAAGAGTCTCATTGTATCACTGAACAAATTAAATATTTAAAATCCTGTTATTAGGACTTCTCTAATCAAGCTGCCCTCATTCTCACTGGACTTTTAAAAATTTCCTTCCTCCATTTTAATTTAAGCAAATACGATACTTACGCCGGATTTGTGCACGTTCGTGCTCTATACTGCACTCCTCCTCCACATGAATACGAACATGCAGACCAGACACCCCATTTAGACCATCCACCATTTACCAAAGGAGAACCGTCGTCTTCACAGACACCCTTGATGCACCACTAAAACAAGAACAATAGATCCTGTCAGAAGCAGTCACCTTATTTCTGGGTTTCACACTCAGCTGATAAAAGTCTTTGAATCTCATTATCTGCTGCAAATGGTGTTCAAACACTGACCACCATGTGCTGTCAACCAGAAAGAATACTATGAAAACTTGCGATTTCAGCTGATGAACATTCCCCACTAGACAGGATATGATGTCAAGTGAAATTCAGCCCAGGGGCTGTTATTTGCTTCCTGTATTAATTTTTTATTGATGGTTATCCTTAAATTTATACTTATAGTCACCGACTAAACCCACTCCCCTCAGCCGTATTATATTTAGTAATTATCCTTGCTATTGGCCCTTACTTTGCTTCCTCCATAAAATGCTGCGTATGACTTACATTTCTAACACCACATCTTGTGCCATCCATCGGCGGAGCTGCTTTACTGACACATTGGAGTGAGTTGCCACTAGCACAGAAAAGACTTTTGCAATTACTCTGAGGAGAAGAAAGATAGGAGTATACGTCTTTTGTAACTGATGACAACTTTTTGTTTAAGTTTATTATACAATAGACAACGACAACGACAACGACAACGACAACGACAACGACAACGACAACGACAACGACAACGACAACGACAACGACAACGACAACGACAACGACAACGACAA